AATAATAATAATAATAATAATAATAATAATAATAATAATAATAATAAGTCTTTATTGATTAGCCCCTGGGCAATATCAAAGTGCAAAGTTCCAGCAACAAATTTGTTACTAAAATTTTATAAAAGCAATTCAAAATTAAATTTGATAAAATACTATTTAAAATGGAACTTGATAAAATACAATTTAAAATGGAATCTAGACAAAATACCATTTAATACCAATACTCATTTCGTTGTACCCGCTTGCGAGTGTAATGACAAATAAATTCTTATGTCTTAAGATGAAATAGTAATAAAATACAATCCAAAATAAAATTGTAATAATGTTCAATAATTTAAGATATAAATAAAATATAATAACATTATATTACGGAGTCGCTGTTATGAACCAATTATCTGAGCTCATTTGAACTTGGTTCTTGGTTCCATGCAGCCATAACATACCAGGGAGTTGTACTGTATGTTGTGCTGTATGTTGTACTATATGCAGAATAATGCAAAATTATAAAAGAAAGAAAAAAAAGACTCTTTAATAAACCAAATTGCAATAACCTGTTCAGTAAATGAAAAACAAAACCATAGTTCATAACGGAGAAGATAGTTCTCTACCTAATTTGTTAGTGTATCATTTTTGTAAAGGTCCATAAGGATTATAAACTGTTACAATTTTGATCAATCGTGTCAAAATATGCCAGAGGGTGGGGAGTGGCATGGCAATCCAGCCTCTCTGCTTTGGCTTGAATCATAATACCTCAACTGCCATCTTGCAGATTTTGATCCCTGTCCCACTGCTATACTGTACAGGTAGTCTTTGACTTACAACCATTCATTCAGTAACCGTTTGAAAGTTACACCGGTCCTTGAATTACAATGATCGCAGCATCCTCACAGTGACATGATCAAAATTCAGTCACTTGGCAACGAGCATGTATTTAGAATAGTTGCAGTGTCCCAGAGTGACGTGATTGACAGCAATCTTCCTAACTGCTGTCCAATAAGGTCAATAGGGGAAACTACTTAATGACCATGTGATTCATTTAACAACTGCAGTGGTTCACTTAACAACCATGGTAAAAAAAATGTGTTAAAATCAGGCACTTAACAACCACATTGCTTTGCAATGGAGATTCTGGTCCCAATTTTAATTGTAAGTCGAGGACTATCTGTAGTTCATTTGTAGCTCAGTCTACGTTACAATATTGAATATGTCTGTATGTGTAAAATAGCAAGATAAATAAATAACATCATTGAAAATGTGGATGATATTTATCAAAAATACTTTAATTAGCAGGGATTTTTCTTTTAAATGTTTTTAGAAGTCTGTGGTGGGCTAAAGTTCAGGCAGATTCTATAAAATAGCTTGGGAAATAACTTGAGAAGAAAATAACCTTGAAGAGACTTGGGGACCTATTGTTAATCTTTAAGGATCAGAGGATTTGGTTTTCTGCTGAAGTTGCAAATTGGGTGGTGTTTTGTGCCCCATCCTTTCCCCACATCCTCTCCCCAACTCTTCCCCAGATGGCTTCTGCAACAGACCCTCGCTATGGCCAGAAGGAATCCTCAGACCAGAACTTCGACTACATGTTCAAGATCCTGATCATTGGCAATAGCAGTGTTGGGAAGACTTCCTTCCTCTTCCGGTACGCCGATGACTCCTTCACTCCGGCTTTTGTCAGCACCGTTGGCATAGACTTCAAAGTGAAAACCATCTATCGCAATGACAAGCGCATTAAACTGCAGATCTGGGTAAGGAGGCAAGGGAAAGCTGTCTGGCCTTGTGTTTCTCAACCCTAGCAACTTTAAGACAT